AGATCATCTTGAGTTTATGTTATAAACTGAGTAGGAAACTTATACAGGAAAGAGAATTCGTTCAACGAGATATCCGGTGTGACAATTTTGGGTTACATCGTACGCTGAAAATAGAATCTGTTAACCTTCTAAAGTTTACATACTCGTACAAACATACTTCAATATATGATCAGGTTGCAAGATCAGAGATGTTTGACATACAGCGTACAGGCGGTTACTCTTTCCCCAAAGACGGGTTCTGCCAGCACTCGCGTTAAAAGGTCTGGAAATAATATTCAGTTACAGCCAATGTTGTTTCTTTACCCAGAATCAAACCATTATGCCCATACGCTTTCACTGCAAACGCGAAACAAACTGAATCCCACCGGCTGTTATAAAAAATGATATAAAATCTTACATACATCTTCACGGGCTGGGCCGTGATATTTTCCGTGGAGTTTCTGTCAACAGTATAAGCTAAACCTTCTGAAACTATTTTCACTGTTCGATCAAAATACTGGATATACAAGAATATCATCATCATCATCAGTAATCTGTCAAGACGACAGGTCCACAGTCTCTTCCAAACCAATTCCTCCATTTAATGCGATCTAGAGCTTTCTCCTTCAAATGACAGTATCCTCTTCTGTCCCCAAGGTCATCCAGCATCTTCTTACGTCTTCTTCCTCGTCTTCTGGTCACGTCTATCCGCCCCTCTATCTTTCCACCAATAACTTCTTTTAGAAGGCAGTTTCTGCGTAAAACATGACCAATCCAATTAGCCTTCCGTTTTCTTATTTCGTGTAGGATATTCCTCTGCTCACTGACTCAAATTAACACTTCTTCATTTCTCACATAATCGGTCCAACTGATCTTCTCCATCCTTTTCCAACACCACATTTCGAAACTTTCCAGATGTTTCTGAACAAGAATATATTCTTATAAAAATAATTATAATTCTTGGCATTAATATTTCATATTGTTACGCGTTAGAGTGACTACAGGTAGGGTTTGGATTGGTGAATAGATTTATTGACCACTTACAGGTATAAAAAAGGAGATGCTTTATCTTCACTGCTTTTCTACTTTGCTCTAGAATATGCCATTAGGAAGGTCTACGAAAACCAGGTGGGACATATCAGCTGTTGGTCTATGCTGATGGTGTGAATCTACTGGGTGATAATATAGATATCATTAAGAAAAATACAATTTTAATTGACCCTGCTGAGGAAGTTGGTCTATAAGTAAACACAGAGAAAGACTAAGTATATGTTACCGTCTCATCACAGAATGCAGGGCAAAATCATGACATAAAGATAGGTAAGAGATATTTTGAAAATGTGGCACAGTTCAGAGATTTTGGAACGACTATATCAAATCAAAACCTGATTCAGGAGTAAATTAAAAGGAGACTGAATTCGGGTATTGCTTGCTACCATTCAGTCAAGAACCTTTTGTCTTCTCGTCTGCTGTCTAGAAATATAAAAACAATAATATACAAAATTATAATTTTGCCTTTGGTTCTGTATTGGTGTGAAACTTTGTCTCTGACATTATGGGAGGAACACAGACTGAGGGCGTTTGTGAATAGGGTGTTGAGGAGAATATTTGGACCGAAGAGAGATGAAGTGACAGGAGGTCGGAGAAAACTGCATAATGAGGAGCTTCATAACTTGTACTCTTCTCCAAGTATAATTAGCATGATCAAGTCAAGGAGGATGAGGTGCAGCACGAAAGGAGGAGAAGAGGAATGCGTACTGGATATTGGTGGGAAATCCAGAAAGATTGAACAAGACATAGGTGTGTCGACAATATTAAAATAAATCTTAAAGAGATGGGAGGGGATAGACTGGATTGATCTGGCTCAGGATAGGGACCAGTGGAGTGCTCCTGTGAACGCGGTACTGAACTTTCGGGTTCCATATAATGCTGGGAAATTCTTAAGTGGCTGCACAATTGGCGGCTTCTCAAGAAGGGCTCAGCTCCGTGAGTACCTCATGAGTACAGGTCGTCACTACAAATATCTATGGCAATATTGCTATTTCTACACTTTGAAATTTACTATACCACACAGTCTAGTGTTCTCAGTCTCTTAATAGACGATTCTTGGTAACAGTAATGCCTCCTTCCCTCACAAATTACCATACAAAACTGACTCAGTGAGTCAGCTAACTCCCAGGCTGGCGGTCATTTCACACAGACCTCCTAGTCTTCTCTTGACAGATTCCTGTACAGAACTGAACTAACTTCAAAGTCAAAGTCACATTGCGACTGACGGCCTGTCAGTCAGTAAGTCTTGGTGTCGAGCACCCTCCTGGGGCTCATGACCAGATATTTATTACTGTTTGACAGTTACGGTCTTATTTCTGTGGGGCGCCCTCTCTATCGAGAGGACGGGTATGTCCTTTGTCTGTCCTTTCTCGTATGCTGCTGGTCCTTGTCAGCCAGGGTTTTCTCGGGTCCGAGTCCCAAGGGACTCGCTACCATATTTTACTGTCTCAGATTTGAGACTTCCCTTTTCGTCGTCTCCTACGACTCGCAGGGTGACGGTGGAGGTATTCGACCCCGCCTCCACACGGGGGTTCAACTACCTTAGTCAAAGTCACATTTCGACTGACGGTCAGTCAGTCTGTCTGTCTTGGTGTCGAGCCCCGACTGGGGCTAATGACCAGATTCTTTTTTTTAATATCAAAGTTACTGTCCTGTTCATTTGGGGCGCCCTCTCTCACGAGAGGTCGGGTCTGTCATTTGTCAGTCATAGTCCGTATTAGCAAGTCCATTGTCAGTATTTACATATATTTACAAATTTAATCTTAATTCCTATTTGTTTGTGCAGTATATACAAGGTCTCTGTCAATCCAGGCTCAGTACAGCAGATTATGCCCTATTTCTAGTAGTATTCGCTACCACGGCAGTCTATTCGCTTGAGCGGTCGTATGCCTGACCGCCGCCAAGTTTAAGCCTCTTATACTTTCTGTGTCCTGCTTCGCCTTGTCCGATGTTGCGAACATTCTCATTTTCATTCAATTAACTTCTAACCTTGTACCGCTTATAACATCTCGGAACGGACCAGAACATAGTTTCCCTATCGTTGTAGTCCAGTTGTTGAATTATTAAAAATCTGTTGCCTAGCAAAGGGCACTGTGTTTGTTTCGCGGGAACGTGTAGTGTATAACGAGCCGTTGCCCAGAAACGGCCTTGGTATATCTGCCCATCTCGTGGTCGCTGGGTAGTAGTAGCTCTGCGCGCTACAGTATATTGCCCTCTTTCTCGAATTCTAATTCTTTTCCCCAAAAATACTTGGAGGAAGGGGAGCAGATGCCTAGCTTCCCCTAAACCCTGCTGGTGTCACTGCTCATGTTACGCATCTCGCAAATTCCTTAGTATTGTGACTTACCACACAGAAATTCAGGATATGGACAAGTTAATACGGCACTGAACCTTAGGATTCCTTAAAGTGCAGGAAATGTCTTGACTACCTCAGCTCCTCGTGAGGGACCAAGGAGTTAATCACTGGAATGGTTGTGAAATTTTAAGGTCTCAATGAGATGAATATGAAAGCTGTCTTCTCGGACGTGACACCGTGTAGTATGGTGGAAAAGTACATAACCTTTCAGAAGAAGTTCCTGCCTCCTCTTTAGTATACTCTGCTAACCTAAGGACTACCCTGAAATGGAGACATCAGGTTCCTCCGAAACGTTAGTACCTTTCTTTCTTCCAGATAACACTGCATTGCACAAGAATCACTAATCTTCGTTCATCCGGACATTCAACTGCCAGAAACTAAGCTCTGCAGAATCCATTTGATATACAATTTATTACTGTTGCGTGTATAGCTGTTGCTATGCAACGATCGCAAGAAGGAACGTGCGTTACTTGGTAACGCTCGGTAAACACGTCAAAAATATCCTAGGCAACTGCTCGGTAAACGGGGTCCTGCAGCAACGGATACGCACGCAACTGTCGAGTTCCGGGTTCAGTTGGGTGAAGTGACTGAAATTCGGGCTGTGAAGAGGAGACTAGGAGGTTGGTGGGAGCTAGTCAGCTGAGTTGTCAGTTGGCAAAGAGTTCTGCACGGGTGGCTGTGACAAGTGGACCTGAGTGGGGGAAGCTGAAGAATCTCCCTCAGTACAAGCCGTTGCCATGAAACGACTAATGGAGACTGTAATAGACTGAGCACATTAGTCTCTGTGTATCAGTGATATGTAAAATGTAGTTCCGAGTGGTGTATACAAGTGGTCAGTAAATCCGATATTCAATCCATACCTCGTCTATAGTCACCAGCACCCCTAAAAGATATAACAATATAATAATCGAACTTCTTATTGTCGTCTGTCCGTCCGATCCACCTTATTTCTACCGAACAGCGAGTGGTAGAAAAATGATAAAGAAAAAAAAAAAGATATTTCTCTCGGAGAGAGAACTTCGAGAAGTTTTTTCTTAAATTTGTTACTACGTGCATGGGTTCAAGCCCAAGCCAGCTAATTTCCTTGTTATTTCCTATATATGAAAGAGCACTGCGATCGTGAGAACTGTGGGATTATTGTTAGAAAATTGGGGGGGGGGGCTCATAGTATCTTCTGTGGTCGCTAGACAAAGAAGAGGATACTAAATGCATGAATATAAGAATGGGACGGGAGAGGAATAAGGGAGAAAAGATGAAGCGAGATAAAGATAAAGAAATGAATAAAAATAAGGAAGAAAGGAAGTGGTGGGCAGTTTTAATTTTAAGGGGGTGAAAGGGAGGAAGAGCCTGATCATAGGACAGACAAAATAAATACCACAGAAAGAAGGGAAGGAAATAAAAATAAACAAGTATATACGGTTGCAAGGAAGCAATGATTAGCCCCTCTCAGATCTGACCAATAAAGTAACCACCACGAACAACAAAAATATTTCTTGAAATTGCCGTTCAGATTTGTCTGCACAGACACATTAGTTAATAATAAAATTATATCTCTGTAATTAACTACTTAACAATGTTTTGCTATCTCCTCTGCCTGCCAAGAGAGTGGACATACCCGTGACTCCCGAAATCGTCGGTGCGGGCGGCTGGGAGCCGGTGGGAGGCTCGAACAGGTCCTTCACGCGATTGTAGACGAGGTCGCGCGGGTTGTGTAGATAGAAGGGGTCGCTGGTGGAGGTGTGCGCCGGGTTGATGTACAGACCATCGGGCTGCTGATGTTGCGGGGGCGGGGCGTGCAGGAAGAAAGGCTCCGAGCACTGCAACGAGATATACGTACATAAAAACATAGGTACTAATTAACACTTTACTGCATGTACCATCTGCTATGACGTAGGAACATTTAAGTTCAGCCGACAGCGTATTTTTCGTAGCATTGTCATAGAAAGAGCCATTATTTCTCGAACCAGCACTAATTTGCCGATAATTATTATAAACAGGAAGTGTTTTCTGTGGAGGAAAGAACGGAATTTTCAAGTATCTTTCGTAAGAACCTTTTACCTTAAGCGTTAAGCTACATAACTTAAAACAATTCTGCTCTTGGCTGATTCCACTTCGTTCTCGAAGATGTCTGGGCGTTAGTTTTAACAGACAGTAACACGCATGTCATAAAGAATTCAAGGAAAATTCTTTTACAATCCAACACATTTATCTATTTACATATTTCTCTCTGAACAGGGATAGCTCAGTCGACATAGCGACGGGCTAGGCCGAGCCATAGGTCAAGCGGTTAGTCGCTGGATTCCCACCGCGGCGGCCCGGTTCTGGTCAAGTGGGATTTGTGGTGGACAAAGTGGCGCTGGGGCAGGTTTTCTCCGAGTACTTCAGTTTCCCTTGCCAATCTTCATTCCACCAAATTCTCCATCATCATAAAAACCCGGGGCAAGTACAACAGACCAAACAGTGGCCGACGTGCCGAGTGGACACAGCTGGACTCCACCCCCCACTATGCGAATAAAAAAGAATAGCGACTATGCCGAGTGAGTGACCGCCGCTTGTCGGAGAAGTTATTGTCAAATTTTGCGGATAGAGAGTGTCACATGGTCAGCGCAACGGATCCCCAAGGCCGTTAATCTCGATTTTCTAGACAGGAGCTTCTATTTCCTTGAAATAGCTCCTCAATTATCCTCACGAGGCTGAGTGTACCCCGTTAAAGACCCACTAATTCTCAGAAAATCTGGAAGGGTCGGGAATCGAACCCAGACCTCTGGATCTGTAGCCAAGAAGTCTGACCACTACAACACGGAGTCGGTCAAAAGCTAGTAAAAGTAAGAGGTCAAATTATATCATGAAGATGGAGGTAGTATATTACCCGAAACATTTGTAACCACGTACTAGACTATACTGTGTCATAACATAGAAGTTAACCATATGAGGGTAATAAGTTTTCATGCGTACCATGCAACGCGAGCACGTGAAGAGAATCGGGGTACAGCTCCAGAGATTCTATGCCTTGATAATAGGCGGAGGCCATAATCGGCTTCACGATCCGGCCGTTTAACCTGACAACAGCGGGCCCTAATATAATGAAGAAGAATAAAATTTCTGTCCCTCCTGGAACCGTAATTGTCCAGCCGGTGGTGACAGGTCAGACCGCAAATTGTAACAGAGAGCACTAACTTCTGGGACTTGACACCGTGTAGTGCGGTAGTAACCGCTACGAGAGTTTCAAATCCAATACAGCTTTCTCGTTCACTTCAAAATTTACTGGGCTCTTCGACACTCAAAACCATCAGCCATTTTAGCTTGATCACAGTCATCAATTAATTTTACATTCAGGTGAAGACGTCACAGTGCTTAATTAAAGACAATACGATGAAGCATATGGGGAAGATGCAACCATTCTTAGACTCAGCACTAGTTGGAGGTGAGCGGTGAACTTCACGCCTCGGTCGCCTTATCCCCGCGGGAAGAATCCCGGGTACCCATCGAACAAGGAGGCACTGTGGGTCCCAAAGTCAGTCTGGATGCTGTGGGGAGGATACGAAGCTCTTGCACCTGGCAGGAATCGAATCGTGATACCTCGGCCGTCCGGCATATATCCTAGTCAGTACAGCGACTGAGCTACCCCGGCTTATATTAAAATAAAATATAATTCTGTATTAAGTTAAAGGTGAAGTCCTCGCGATTTTAATCAAGAACCATGTCAATAAGGGGGTGGATAACGATAAAGGGATAAACGATATATTAATGCAGCAGGATACTTAAATACAATATCAGGGAAAGATTTGGGTGCATCCATTCTTCTGTAACAATCTAAACTGAGGCGCTTATATTGTTTCGAAAAACCTTAACCTGGAACAAGATTCCTTCGTCTCATGAGAAATTCTTTCCCAAGCCAAATTTATTTTGCCCTGCCTAGCATAGTCTGAGTCGCTTTTGCTGAATTAACTGCACACAAACAAAATTATCAGCTTCGTCAACATGAATCACTGAAGCACGTTACAGAACAGTTGATACTAGGAAACCACGCGGAAACGCAGTTATGAGAAGACTGGCATGTTCCGTTTCCTAGAAATTGAGTTTCTCAGTCTTTCCTCGAGTTGCGTTGCCGTTTCCTCAATTTGCCCTGCTCCATTCACTAACACGTGTTCAAATCAGGCCGATAACAATTCTTGGAAATCGCGGTTGCGTTGCGGTTGCCAGTTCCCTTGGTGTGCCCTCGACCTTAATTTGCCTTGCGACGAGCTGATCACCCGTCCATGGAGTCCTACCGTCTGTAAAATGGTCATAAAACTGAGAAATCAGCCCTATGCTCCAAAGTGGGAGCAAGAGGAGAGAGAGAGAGAGAGAGAGACTGTTGATTTGTCAACTTATTTTGACCCTTTCCACGGCAAGTACAGGTTAGATCGGGTCGCGGTGCTTGAGTTGCGCCAACAGATGGCATTAAGGGCGACATACCTATGTTTAGAGGAAAGAATGAGCTTTCAAATGAAATATTTCTGTTGCCGTTTCAACGTCATTAGAAAAAAATATTGTAGGTTTTTATGTGCAACTGCATTTACACATAAACACATTTCGAACTTCTAACAGGCGGTTTTATGGGTGGGCTTGGCATTTAAAAATTAACAGGATCTCACGTATGATTGGCTTTAATGTATTCGCTGCGGTTATGAACTCGCGGTTTCATTCAGAAAACTGATGCAACTCTATCACTGTACAGCGTGGCTAGGAGCCGAACTGTGTACCCATTGTGTAACAGTTGCAGGCTCTGCCTCTGCTGAGACTGACAATGCTGACAATGCTGACCATGTAGGCGGTGAAAGTATGGTGAGTCTGCTGACATTTCCGTAATTTTACGAAACGCACTGCGTGGTCTGCATTGAAAGTACACCGAGACCAATGACATTTACGATATGAACTGCTTTTTCTATACTGAATTTGACACATTTTTCAATATAGATAATGTTTTACTGCTGTCAACACAACACTATTCCCAGATGGTGGAGTTTGCTGTCTAGGACAATATGTTTCGTCATATGTGTTATCTTCAGGCACCTAGCGCAAACTTTCGCAGTAAACCAAGGAGATCCGCCGGTGTTACGTATAAACTATACAGAGTGTCCCCGGAGGAAAGGTAAATATTCTGGGGTGGGGGGGGTCATATTATCAGTCATTCTAAGCAAAAAATTACATACGTACATGTGTCCTATTCCGAACAGTTTCCGAGATAGAGTTATTTCACTGTACACCGTACAGACAAGCAACACATCATGTCCTCACACGAGTTGCAAAGTGCATTGATGTTGACGGCGGAATTTCAGAAAATGTATTATACTAGGTGAACTGTACCAACTTTTCTTATTTGAACAATAAATATGGGTATTAGAAACAGTACGTAATATCTCTCTCTTATCAACAATTTTGGAACTGCACAGTGAAGTAGCTCTATTTCGGAAACCGTTCGGAATAGGACACAAGTATGTATACACCTTTTGCTTAGAATGACTGATTCGCTTAGTGGGAGGTGGAGTCCAACTGAGTCCACTCGGCTCGGAGGCCACTGATTGGCCTGTTGTACCTGCCCCGGGTGATTATGATGACGGAGAATTTGGTGGAATGGAGATTAGCAGGGGAAACCGAAGTACTCGGAGAAAANACTTGACCGGATATCGCGACAATATTTTTATTTTACACAGAAAGGTCGTCAGCCTTGCGTTCATTTCCCAACCTGGAGGACCAAGTCCCTGTATTTATGTCCTCCAGTGAGAGGGCGGTCCTGTTGTAACCACAGGCAGCGTGTTGCAGAGCCGTGGTCGAGGTATTCTTACCCGCCTCCACACAGGAAGCAAAATCTTTGTCAATGTTGTTATAAATACTCACAAAATAGACATGATACATAGAAACAAAAGAATGCCGGCTCGTTCCTGACCTACTACATAACATGTATTCATGCAGCGTGTTAACGCTTGGAAATTCATTGCTGTAGTAACTGGGAATTGTGTTAATTTCAGAACCAACGTTTCGCCGTTACATTATTTCCATGAGTGTGTGAGAGAGGGCGGTATTAACACTGTAGAAGTGTCCTGAGTAGCGCAAGTAGCCTGCCAGTAGACATCCACAGAACTGTGACGCATGAGACAAAGGCAGAACATGTAGAATGCAAGAACAAAGAGTTCGCTATTTGTAATCACTGAACTTAGGCGTATAAAGCGTGCAATTAAAACTGGAGAGGATGCCCTCGAATTTTAGTTAAGATAAGATAAGCCTAATTTGTCTCCTGCTATACTCTGCTCTCATATTACAAGCCAGTGTACCAGCAACAGGAATTCCTTACTCAGCAGATCAGCTCGAGATAAGGCTGCAATTGGATCAGGAATAACAGTGACCAATAGAGTGCAGGTCTGCAGGTGGCAGACACGTCAACGGGTTGCACTGCGTTTCGGTCCTGTTTCCTTATTACTTAATTGCAGTCATGACACATTTAATTATCAGAATCTCGAGGTGTGCAGACGTGTCGTGCTTGGGCTCCCGCCTGTGTGTACAGGCCTGCTGCTGGTTAGACATGGCCAGTAAGGATCTGTGTGCAGTTTGTGATAAGCAGGGCCCGAATTTTGATGGCATGTCATCTTTTTTTTTCTTGTATCCTATGCGATGCTCTTAAATATATAAATCTCGGATATGAGCTGCTGGTTACAGAAATGTAAATTTTATAGGTAATTTTTTGTCATTTTTTGACATGTTTAGGTTTAAGGTCATTTTTTCATTTTGGGGGTAATTTTTGGACTTTTAAGGGTATTTCTTCTCATTTTTGGCCATTTTAGGGAATTTTTCTTCATATGTTTTCTGAAATGTGAATAACATGGAAGCGAAGTGTTCTTTCTTTTCTCCTTCAGGTCATTTTTCTGGATTCTTTCGGTCATTTTTTGGATATTTTCAGGTTATCAAAATCCGGGCCATGCATATTACATTTTTGGGTCAGTTTTCTGAATTTTTTTCGCTCATTTTTTAAATATTTTCAGGTCATCAAAATCCGGGCCCTGGTGATAAGCAAAAGTTCATTCGGTGTGGCGACTGAGCTTCGCGCTTTCATTGTAATTGTCTGCAGACTTCTACGTCAGAGACCAGTGCGAGTGCATCCGCTTACAAGTGTGACAACTGCAAGAAACTTAAGGGGGATACCGCAAACGAGCATTCCTTCTCTAAGAGTAACCAGAAGGAAACATTATCCACAGAAATTCAGTGTACTGCTTCGCGTATTTGGGATAAAGATTCTCTCAGCGTGCAGCTGGAAGCTGTTTGCACAAATGGCATCTGTACCATGGAGACGGTACAGTCTTTAGGTGTGATGGTGTCCAAGCTTAGCAGTGAAGTGCAACAACTTAGAATCGATAACGAAACCCTGAAGACGCAACTGCGCGAACTATAAATTTCGTGTCTCTGTTCCAGAAGATGATTTCCATCTTATTAATGATACTTGAGTCTAGCCCAACGGCTGTTTAATCGCTAATTATTACGGGAGATTAAGCCCTGATCAGATTTATACTGTCGAGGCACTAGTTGCGTCTCGTACTACTTCTCCTGGTGCAGGTAGCCTTCGTCCCCCTACTTAGCCGCCCCTGAACTTGAAGGCAATTCTGTAAAGAAGGTAAACAATGTCATTGCCCAAGGAGTGGACGCTTCTGTATTCAGTTAATGGTTAGCAAGCTTGACATCAAAACAGGTTGTTCTGTCAGGTCTCACACCCATCCTGGAAATAGTTTAGATATTTATTACCAAAATGATAGTCTTAGGACTAAGAAACTCGGAAATTTATGCAAATGTCTGCTCTACGGACTATAATATTGTATTATTTGACTGAGACATGGCTAAACGATCTCTGTTCTGACCAAAATTTATTTCCTGACTGCTATACAGTTTTCCGTCCTGACAGGACGTCTGTAAATAAGACACGTGGCGGTGGACTACTCATTGCCCTGTCCTCCAGAGTTCGCTCCTATAAAGACAGACAGGAGTTAGAATCCTGTGATGAATGTGTATGTCGATCATAGTGGTCGCGCGGTCTGACGCTGGGATCGTGAGTTCGAATCCCACTTGAGGCATGGATGTCTGTATTGTGTGCGTTTATTCTGTGCTGGTGTTGTCCTGCGTACAGGTAGCGCCCTTACGACGGGCTGATCCCCCATCTAAGCAGTCATACTGATTGTAGGCCTTTATTTAAAAACTATGAGAAGACAGTACGTTTATTCGTCGATAGAAGACTCAGAAGTTGTACTTGTTTTTGAACGTAATAATGCAGGTTCGAAGAAACTGTCAATTTTTTCTGAACAGACAAGTGACCCATCTGCCTTCCTAAATGACATGTATCTTTTTTAATTATGAAGGAAAACAGAATTATTAAATTAATAACGAAATAGAAACCGCACGAAAGGAGAGGATTGTGGCGGTCAAGGGGAATACGGCGAGATCAAATGGAGACGTAACGCGTTTCTTTGGAGCAAAAGTGGGGAGGAAGAAGAAGAAGAAGTAAAGGTTTCCTTCTGACTGATGTTGTTACACTGGAGCACCACTTACCTTCTCCTGCGAATCGCCTTTGCAGCAACTGCACCCTGTCGGTTTGTGCCTAACTTCAGGAGTGGCGCCGTGTTGAACCAGGATGTTGAGGCACTGAAACAAATGGTGCATTTGAAATGTGGGGGTCTCACAGTGAGATGTGACGCCACGAAAAATAATAATTCGACATTGAATATGAAGGCTTCAGGTTCCCCCGCCGTGCCCCTAAATTTCTAGGCCTGCCTGTCTGCTATTTTAAAGTTAGCACGGTAAGTATCACCATCTACCAGACTACATGGCGTCACATCCCCCAAACACATAAATCTTCAAGAAGTGTACGAGTCACGGGAGACGCACCTCCACCTGCTGGTTCTCGGCGGCGTCGTTGATGGGGCTTTTGCCGAACTTGTCGAGCACGAGGCGAGCACCGTGACGTAGCAGCCAGCGCACAGTCTCCACGTGACCTCGGCTGGCAGCGAAGTGGAGTGGCGTCGCGCCGTCTCCGTCGAGCAAGTTTGGGTCCACGCCTTGCTCCTGCACCTGCAGCAAAGAAAAGACGCCTTGCGGCTCAGCGTCGGAACGGGACGTACCCTGCAACTGAGTCCTAGCAGTGGAGACAAGGGGTTCCTTGGAAAGGTTTGTACCAGACTACACGACGTCACAACGCACAAGGTAACAACCCTCATAATCACCACTGAACAAGATGGTCCAGTGGTAACGCCTTAGACTTGTACTCGGGAGTCGTTCTATTCGCATTTTAGATGGTAGAAAAGGTAAATCTATCCTTGTAAGAGGCCGTGGAGGCCCATAGGGTTGCGAGACATCGAGGCTTCCATATGTTCTAGACAATCGGCTCACAGATGGCGGTGAGATTGTCAGCGTTGTGCTCCTGCCTGCCGGACGCCCTTTATTCCCAGGAAGATTCTCATTTCTGTTAGAGGCTGAGTCGACTCCAGGGCCACAGCGCGGCTGGAAGGATTAGGTCAATTGAGAAAATCCAATGACCTAATCGGGAATCGAACCCGCGACTTCGGACGGTACAGACTATTCTTGCTGAAGTTTTTCATGGCTTCTTTTCAGTTTCTCCAAGCAAATTCCAGGATCGCACCTGTCTTAGACCACAATCGTTTCCTTACAGATCCTCTTCAATCCATATTTCATCTCTCGTACAACCGCCAGAAGCTGCAGAATCTCGACACTGAAGATGTCGTTATATAACCCACGAAAGAAGTAACCATAGTCATCATCCTGAGAACCCGAAATCTACCACGTTAGGCGTCTATTTTGAGAATAGTCTACGCAGCGTCCACTCTGCTATCCTGAGGATGGAGGCAGTAGGAACCTCGAATCGTTAGTAACAATCTACCAGGATACACGGCCTTACATCCCAGAAGATAATAACGTTTATAATTATCTCTGTAAAAACCTCATATCTCACAACGCCCATCGAAATCCACATTAAGATATTTCATCGGGGGTTACGCGAGGTCACTCTGAATTCGTTTGAAAAAAAAAAAAGGATATAAAAGAAATAGAAAGTGGGCGATATAAGATGTCGAGGGAAGGGAATGTGCACCATTGCTCATCATTAAGCAATCTCTTAGCGGTAATTATTCTGACCAATCAGTTTACTTTGCAGGGCCGTGCTATAGTCAAGGCGGCTGGACGACAGATTCTCACCTCGGGCCCTAGAGTTCAGTCCAGGGCGAATTCATGCGGAATTTCTGGCGGAGGATGTGCCACTGGAGGAGGGCTTTCTCCGAGTTCCTTCCGTCTTAACCTCCCACCTTTGCTGCAATACTAATCTATCACCTCCCCTTTACAGTGTGCTATAGCAGGCAGCGCATTATTACATCCTCGGTCTTAAAGTTGAGGGTATACTCCGTCCGTGTAAAGGGGCTATAAGGGAGACAACTGGAGCGAGCCAGTCGTAACCCAGTGCCTGGGGTTATAACTGGATGACCCTGTTCTTGTGGGTATAAATACAGGGACCTGGGCCCCCAGGTTGGGGAAGTCTCGAATCTGAAAGAGTAAATGTGGTCATGAGTCCCACAGGGCTCGGACCTGAAAATGACTGCGCTGACAAGGACCAGCAGCAATTGTAAACGGCATACCCATTATCTCGTCAGAGAGCATGCTATATAAGGACTATAATTGCAAGTGTTCAGTACTGGTCGTGAGTTTCAAGGGTTTTGTCAACATGAACTAATTGGCGGTAAACCGCCCGTCGTAAAGTGACCCTGGCCCTGACCCTTGACTCTTGACTCTGACCCAGTCGTCGGTTGAGAGTTGAGTTCTGCAAGGGAGGCTGAGAAGAGGTGGTGCCATAATTATGTTGAAAGTTCAAATGTGGAGTGTTAACCAGTGGGCAGCGGCGTGACCAGAGAAGCTGAAGAATCTCCGGTGTTAAGAGCTGTTATCAAGTAACGACTAGTGAAGATACGGCAGGCTGGAAAAACTTAGAGTGGAGTGATTTGTAAAGTGTGTAGATTAGCGATAGCACTGTAAGTGTTTGTAGTTTCGAGTCGTGTGTATAAGTGGTAAATAAATCCACTCACCTATATCCAAACCCCGTCTATAGTCACACCCCTAAATTATGACAATATTACTCGTCTTCGTCCGGTCTAGAAAACCGAAATTAACGGTTGTGGGGATTCGTTGCGCTGACCACGCGACAACCTCCATCCGCAAAGTTGGCACTAAACTTCGCCGACAAGCGGTGGTCGCTCGGTTGGTATAGTTCACTTGCGGATTAAAATCACGGAGTTTTTTTTTTATTACTCGTCTTCGAATTCATGTCTTCAATTTACGCTCTCGTAAATCATACTCGACATCTTCCAGTCATCTCAGTCTAGGCTCTTACACTTTTCTTCCATCTTCTCGTTTGTTTTTATAATTCCTTTAGCCACTCTTACTCTCGAATCAGTACTTAAGATAAAGAATACGTGGATGTATACATCCATTCCCCCATACGTCTACATAACGTAATGCTTAATTACTTAAGAACAGGGACAACTTTCCCCATATTACTTTTATTCGATCCATTCTAATCACATGCCTCAGCATTGCTGATTAAATGTGTTACCGTATATCAGTTATGATCCTATATGTATGAATTTTTGTTTAATTTGCTGTCTCTTATTATCTGTTAGTTTTATACCGTTAAACAATTAAGTGATCCACGAGTGCAGTAATCAATTAAATTTACGTTGCAATCGTACGGGAGAAATTCTATTCGGTGGTCGCCGATCGAATATCAGATCAATAAAATGAAATCGATGTCGAATGGTTTCCCAGTATCTCGAAGACAGAATTGTTAAGTACCATGGCCAGTTGTATCCCTCCCACGAACTGTAATCACTAGCTTCCTGGTGATTTCTCCTCTCGCATTTGATCACCGAAATGCACTGGTCTTGAAATGAAAGTGATCCCAAGTCATAGATGACTTGAGCGATACATTGAAGATGGAGGTAGAAGATTCCTTCGAAACATCGGTACTTACAAAGACAAAACAACTCCGTCCAGTGTGACTATTTAAGACGATAGGAGAAGGAACACGAACCTACTTGGTTTATAAATTTTAACTTAAACAACAAAGTTTTAAAAACTTTAATATACCAGGAAACTGCTGTGGTTGTGGAAAATTTGGATTTTGTGTACGAGTATATTGTGCATTGTAGGCATTGTGTGTATATGTATTTTAGCACTCAAGACACCCATTTTGATAGTAGTTTCCGAATAAGTATTGATGTTCCCTCTGATGATGGTCCATAAGGACCGAAACATGTAAGGGTGCTAAGTTTTCAAGTAGTAAAAACTTAAATAGTCACACTGGACGGAGTTGTTTTGTCTTTGCAATTGTTAGTGTGACGGAACAGAATGAAACAAATCAAATTCATCGGTACGTATTTACCGAATTACGTATTTAAGTTACTCCTAATATGGAGACCAAGGATTCCTCCTGAACACCGGTACCAAGCTAAATTTTGAGAACATCCTGAAAATGAAGGCAGTAATATCCAACGAAACGATGGTACGTATTATCTACCAGATTATAAGGCGTCACATCCCAGAACTGCAAAACTAAATACACTAAGAAATGTACACAAATAAAAAAATGAATTTTCTCGCGTTTTATTCAGTTTTCACCAACTCGACCATTCGAGTCTGCGGTGGGGTGGGGGGGGGAGCCTCGCATCTGCTCCTAGCTTTATTTTTGGGAAAAACTGGAAGTTGAATAAGATGTGCAAATATTAATATGTAAAATTAAAATTATTTTTAAAAATGTATTTCTTTATCATAAACAGCCCGGAAGGCGCATTCGGTATAGCGACTGGCTACGGGCTGGATGACCGAGGGGTCGGAGTTCCAGTCCCAGTTGGGTCAAGAATTTTCTCTTCTTCACGTCGTCGAGACCGGCTCTGGAGCCCATCCAGCCTCCTACTTAATGGGTACCGGGGGCTCTTTCCCGGGGGTAAAGCGTGAAGCTGACCACTTACCTCCAGCTATTGCCAATGTCAAGAAACTGTGGATCTATACATCCACTCCCCCATACTCCTTCATGACGTAGTGCTTAATTAGTGAAGCACAGGAACAACTTTACCTTTTTTCACCTTAATTCCTTTATCATAATACCGCAGAGTTTTAAACAGAGTAAACACAATATTGTAGACGAATTTGCCTGTTGCCCCCCCCCAAAACAGAATATTTCAATTTTGTACCAGGCACCGATTACTTCGAGACACCCGGTAACGTAGTTGATTGAGGCACTATGCTACAAGCCGGAAGGTCGCGGGTTCCATTCCCGATGAGGCTATTGAATTTTTCAATTGAACTAATCCTTCCAGGAGCATTATGGCCCTGGGGTGCACTCAGCCGCGAACAGAAATGAGTACCAGGAATCTTCTTGGGGCTAAAAAGCGGACGGGGTGTAAGGCTGACAACCTCAACGCTACCTCAAGAGTACTGTCTAGAAAAAGCGGGAGCCTCAAGTTTCACAACCTCACCGGGGGCTGGGACGGCTCTATCACGTGTCTGTACACCAACGAATTTATACCCGGAGAATTTGGCGGCCATTCTGTGGAGCTGACAAATTCGACCGTAACGTCATCTGATACTTTCAAACGGCGAGTACTGTGACTGTAACATGTCCCTTTTTATTACGTACAAAATTAGAAAGAAACCTGTGTGAGGAACCGAACTGAATACACCTGTCCATGCATATACTTAAGCATGCTCTACATCAGTTACACGGGTTTAATTTGAGCCTCTCAGAGCCCTTCATTGTTGCAGTTTTAGGTCATCTTTTTTAGCCTCCCGAAAGTTCACGCATGCGTAACGAGCTCCAGTGCTTGCACAGCGCTTCCACAGCACAATGCATGAGCAAAAAGCAGAGATGACAAACATTTGAATGCAATACTTTCGCTGACAGAGCGAGAAGATGACTTTCCGGTTCTGTTCTCTCCGAGAGCTACGTACAGTTGTGATAACATTAGCTGTGATATCATGCAAGCATGGCACAGAGATTTATATGATTTTTATCTGAAAACAAACGATAATATTTTCTGTAAAGACAATATCTTACTGCACTTCTGCTATGCAAGCAGCTGGACTAATTCTGATTCTGATCAATCGCTTGCCATCAGAATAAGGCTCGTCGTTGTCACAGGTATACAACTGAGCCGTGCTAAAGCAATGGCTCCTTCCGTGACGTAATGGCTTCCAGCCATATCTCCCACGCTACCCTTCGCCCGAGGTCCTAGAATTTACCCCTTCCCCCTCTACCCCAATACCACGTTATTTTCCCACCCTTTCTACCCCTGTGTCTCGGAAATAAGTATGTTTGGGAGCGGAGGGGTTAGTCTGATAAGTGGATCCACTTGGGCGAGGACGTCTGGCGGACCAGCGGGAGTAATTTTTAAATTTCAGTTCAGCGGAGTTTTTTTTTTCTAAATTTGGTTTCGGCGTAGTCGGGGGCTGGCCGCAGTCGCCAGCTATCAGGGGATAAGTATGGCGGCGATACGCGAGTGGTTTAGTTAGCATTTTTACGTATATATCTTCCTTGGGGCCGCCTGTGGCTGATCAGGAAGTGACTTCCGTTCATAATGTCGGTGGGCCAGTGGAACTGGGCATGTCGCTGAGTTGATGCCGCGAACTGGATCAGTATAGGGCAAATCAGCCATGTCTATTGGGTTATATATTTTGTATATTCTTGCAGTGAGTTATATTGTGTTTGTGTTTATTAAATCTTGTTATTGTTATCTGGTCAGTCATTAACTTCAGTAAGGCCCTCCGCTGCGACCTTGGATTCCCTGCGACGACCTTAGGGAGTATTGTAAACACGACGCGAGAGCCTGGGATGATGAACCGCTCCCGACTTCACGATGGTTGTAGGTGGTAGGGTGAAGACGGGAGTAGTATCGGTTCACAACTAAGTAAATACATGAATTCCGTCAGTATGCCACGCGACTTGCAGCAGATGTTTTTGGAATGGATAGTACAATACCCGCACATGCGCATCACTGTTTTCAGAACCTCCCCCTCCTTGCTTTCTCCTACCTGAGCATGAGTAGCCAGAGAAACGGTAACTCACTGGTCCCGGTTTCGGGCCACAAACTCAAACCCATGTCCCCTCCCTTCCCTATTAAAAGCATTCTTCAGAATAGCTGCTTCCGCAACCTACTAGGGAAGATAATAACAACAAAATAAAATATTATGTTTAATAACTACTTTACAGTTCCTGTTGTAGAAAACTGCATAATTAGGAGCTTCTTAACTTGTACGCTTCTCCAAGTATAATTAGAATGCTCAAGCCAAGGAGGATGAGGTTGTCAGGGCATGTAGCAAGAATGGGGCTAGAAGAAATGCCTGTAGGATATTGGTGGGAAAGCCGGAAGGAAGGAGACCATTGGGAAGACCAAGGTATAGGTCGGTGGACAATATTAAAATGGATCTTATAGAGATAGGATAGGATGGTATGGATTGGGTTGATCTGGCTCAGGATGGGAATCGCTGGAGGGCTCTTGCGAACACGGCAATGAACCTTCAGGTTCCATAAAATGCTGGGAAGTTCTTGAGTAGCTACACAATTGGCAGGTTCTCAAGATGGAGTCAGTTCCATGAGTGAGTGAGTTCCCTGTTACTAAATTCTTAATGCGATGGATGGTCTTCATGAAGTGATCCAGTTTCCCAATGTCTGGCCTGAACTCACTCCAATCGTAAATAATCGAACAACGCGCTTGGAGGAGCCCGCTACCAGCGCCCCCCTTACCTCTCAGCGCTCCCTTGGGTAAGCCCCCTGACCCCAGGAGGCGGTACAGCCCAATTTGGGAACCACTGCGAGAACTCCTATAGTTAGGACGGGGGCCAACATGAATTTTTCCAAGAGGAGTCATCCAGGTTGCCATGGGAGACGGCCAGAAATTTTGCTTATAAGTTATAAACTTCAGTTGACCCCTTTTAAGAATATTTTTACCGATTACCCCCAGAATACTGAGCGTAAAAGAGCAATGATTTTAAAAATAACTACTAAAAACTGTAATTCTCTCGTTCTTGATTTATTATCATTCACTTTCGAAAGTGTACGGGGAAGGAAGCCTGTGCCCGCCGCCCGGATCGGCGCTTATGCTGGGGAGTGTCGGTTAGAGAGCTCATCGAGTTGCTCTGGAATCTGTACACCTGAACCAACCAGGATGACAGGACATGCAGGAGTGTCACAGAAACATGTCCACACACCACGCACATCACGGCGAAACGAAACAGAAGATAAAAAGGAAGGTAAGGCGAGAAGCCCGGCAAGCTGCTCACTGGCGGGACAGGCGAGACTGCAGATGGCGCACTAACTGCGTCTAGGCTGGCGTCACTTGACCGGACCCCTTCACTCATCTCTTTACTGCGAGTACGATCACATTACATCACACGTACTGCTTGCTTCTTCTGACTTCCTGCTGGTCACTCGGCCATTTCATTGTTCCCCATTCCCCTATTGGTTCGCTCAGGGCACCAGTATCACCTTTCCCCCCCTCTCAGTTTACTCTTCTATAATGACGATGGAAGCAGCAGGTTCCCACATCCCAGGAGACAATGAGAGCCTCTGTCTTTCTTGTTTGCCCACATCCTAGATTGAGTCCTTCAGAGCGGATACTGATATGGAGCTGTAACGAAGCAAGGCTCCCCTAGCGAGACGCCTCGCAGTGTAATTGAATGGAAATACAATACTAAGCATGACATGTTCGGAACAAACACGACTGAAATTGATGAAATCTTCACAGCAAGTCACTCGGATGTCGCAAGCCATCAAGCACTGCGAACGCATGCCCATATTTGCACTTGCTAGGCCAGCAAGACTTACCATCCATTTGAGGCAACCAAGGCAACCCATCTGCGACGCGGCATGAACCGGCGCCATGCCGTCCTTGGCGCGTACGTAGAGCGAACCGCCCGCCTCGGTAACCAGAAACTTGAGTACTTCCAGGTGACCCTCCTGGGCGGCCAGGTATACCGGCGTCACGTCGTTGTCCATCTGCGTGTTCGCGCTGAAATACATAACACGAATTGCCATGAATCGACAAGTTCTCCGGACTTACAAGCCACAGTATACCGATCACTTCGGAATCATGCGAACCAAGACGATCAACTAAGGTTTCTCGTAGAGGGAGCCGTTGCTATGCAACGACAGCAAGATTGGCGGATATACCAGGGCCGTTTCTGGGCATCGGCTCAGTAAACACGTTACCGCAGCAACAGACACGAACACAACAATAGAAAAGCTGTGTTTTCTATGTAGTCTGTGCCGAGGGAAAAGGTTACAATCAGTAATCAGTTTTGTATGGGAGTCTATGAAGAGAGGATATGAACCAGGGGGCAGAGGGATAGCCATTGTTGGGGCAGTTACCTGGAAACTTCTAGTAACAGACTGAGAACACTAGACTGTGTAAATGAGATCTAGAAATCTGTGACGATTGTGAATTAGTACAAATGTTATGTTTCTGGACATTATCCATCGTCATGTTTTTATCTAAAACGCCGTCTTGTTTATATTTAAAACACAACGTTTCGGAGACTGGATTCTGTCTCCAACATCAGGTAACGCCTACTCAGTTGGGCCCAATCGACAGAGCTAGTCCCCATCTCCGGACACCTGTACCAGCACCAACTTAGGGTATACAAGCCAAGAACAGCACAAACCATCTGCGAGAGCTAAGACAAAACACTAGAATATTAAAATCTCTACACGTATGAGGTCTTGCTCCAGAGAACTATCAAGCTGGAAATTATCACTAGAGAGATTAGATTCTCTGTATGGTACCAACACAAGAAAAACAAATTTTCCCACTCCGTCCAGTGCAGATTGAATGGGAAAATTTTGTTTTCCTTGCGTTGGTACCATACGGAGTATTTCATCTCTCCAGTGCTGCCAAAAGCAGCTTACGGTTAGAAAGGAGGAATAGTGACTAAAAGTACTCCTACATATAAGTAAAAACTCGCACATAAGAAAAGTTGAGAGAAAAGAAGAAACTCGCTGTAGTTTCTGCTACGCTACTTTGTAACCGTGTCCAACGTTGTCGCACTTCTACAACGGATAGCTTCCAAATCGAGTAAAAGTCAAAGTTTCAATACATTATTATTAATTTCTCTTGAACGGTGTATTGAATATAAGTGTAATTTTGCGATGCTATTCCTAAAGGCTGAAATTATAAGTGCAAATTTTTTAAATTCATGGTACCATTCTTTAAATTCCATGCGATCACATGTAAATTTAGTGAAAATTAAAAGTTAAGTACCTTTAGAACGAGTTAGTGAATTCTATACACATTTTTAGGGATTTCAGAAGAAAATAACGAACGACGCGTACAATATTTATTCATTTTGTACCATTTTAAGTATATCCTATATATCATTAACTGAGAATCATACCATGAAGACGTACGAGGAAGTGGAGATTTATCTTCATGCATTCATCAATAAGGTAATATATGAAGATGAGTGGTCAATATCATGTCCCGACAGCTTTCAACCCAGGACCCACTGGATAGGACGCTGGGTAGGAGATGGATGCTGTGAAACAGAGAAAGATTTTTTGAGTTTGCTGGAAATGGAACACCGATCCCTTTGTTCCCAGGCCGTAGCATAGATGCTATAACGACTGAGTGAATCGTGCTCTTAAAAATATTTGTAATGAGACTAGTATCCATTAATAAGTCCATAATTATTTTATGTCGTGTAATTATTATTCATGACCAGCTGGTTACTTCGTATCTAACGTAAGCTCTATTTTAGATTTTAGAACTTTAAGATTGCAGTGAATGTCATTTTAGTGTAAACAACTCGTACAAAATGTAGCCGAAATCCTTTCAGTACTTTTTGAAATAAAATATGTATAGCAGATTTCTGACACTAGAGGACTGAAAGTTACACGCAGAGCCTGTGGATTATAGGGATACCAAACAAGAAGTTATGGAAAGAACAAATCAGCTACATTCCTTAGATACGTCACGGACCGTTACAAAATTATGGCTCCAAAAATTCTTCGTTGCCGCGGGAACGTCTTTACCGAGTTTTGCCTACAACGATAGAGGGAAACACAAGCACCTCCAGATATTACAAGCATAATTAACTAACTTCATGGAGCTAAGCCCTTCTTGAGCAGCCGCTAGTTCTGCAGGCATCCAAGAACTTCCCAGGATTTTATCGAACACGAAGTTTCATTGACGTGTTCACAAGAGCCCTCCAACTGGTCCCTATCATGAGTCAGATCAATCCAGTCCATACCACCGCATTATTTTTCTGTGATCCATTTTCCACCCACCTATGCCTTGCTCTTCCCTATGGTCTCTTTCCTTCTGGCTTTCCCACCAATATCCTATACGCATTCCTTGTCTCCCCCATTCGTGCTACATGCCCTGCCAACCTCATCCTACTTGACTTGATCATTCTAATTATACTTGAAGAAAAGTACAAGTTATAAAGCTCCTCATTACGCAGTTTTCTCCAACCTCCTGTCGCTCCATCTCTCTTTGGCCCCAATATTCTCCTCAACACCCTCAGTCTATGTTCCTCCCTTAATGTCAGAGACAAAGTTTCACACCCACACAGAACCATAGGGTAATATAATTTCTGTATATTCTAATTTTTATGTTTTTAGGCTGTAGACGAGAAGACAAAAGGTTCTGGACTGAATGGTAACAAGCATTACCCGAATTAAGTCTCCTTTTAATTTCAAATTTTGATTTGTTTCTGTCTTTCCCGAATTCTTGAACTGTGCCACATTTTCAAAACATTTGTTAGCTATCTTTATGTCACTATTTTGCCCTGCATTCTGATGACGAGAAAGCAACATATACCAAGTTTTTTCTGCGTTTACTTCTAGACCAACCTCCTTACTAGCTTCAATTAATTACACATAATTACATATGTTAATGGTATGCCTCTCTATGTAGTGAAAGGTGTAACCTGGTTACGGCTTGTCCCCAGCACGGCTTCTAGTCAATCGCTGTTTGCAAGGTAAAACGTACCTATAATCTGTCGAATTAATAATTTTACTAAAACAATATTTGAATTATTTTGTTTGAAGTCCAGTATTCTGAACGTCAAGAAAATCAGAACACACAGCGCTGTAGTCAGTTCGTATTGTCGAGCCTGCGCCGTGTTCAGACACGCGCTACTTTCAGGACAAACAGAGCGGGCCCTCTCGGCGCGTGTCCATGCGATCCATGAGCCAAACTTTCGCTTGGATATTAACGAACTCCGGGTCTCACAGTGGTAAACTTTTCGGATATTACCCGAGATTGACTGTGCTGGCCAGCAGCAATTGTAAACGACAGACCCGTCCTCACGTCAGAGAGAGAGAGAGAGAGAGAGAGAGAGTGCCCCACGTTAGCAAACCCGATAACTGTCTGATAGTAATAAAAATCTGGTTGTTAAGCCACATATGGGTGCTTTATTCCAAGACACACTGGCTGACTGACCGTCGGTCCTAACATAAGAGTCGACTCGACTAGACTCGATTCGACATAGATTGCGGTTGTGGTGTGGAGGCTTTTTCGAATACCTCCACGGTAGCTCTGCGAGTCGTTGAAGGAGACGAAAAGGGAACCCAGTGCCTGGGGGTATAACTGGGCCACCCCTTTCCTGGGGGATATAAATACGAGGACCTGGCCCTCCAGGTTGGGGAAGTCTCGAATCAGAGACAGTATAGTATATTCATGAGTTCCGCTCGACACAGACCCAAGAATGACTGCGCTCACAGCAATTGTAAAGGACAGACACATCCTGTCGTCAGAGAGGATATTATAACCGCAGGTGTTCAATTGGAAAAAAAAATCTGTGGTCGTGAGTCTCGAGCTTAGCGCCAAGATGAACTGATTGGCGGTAAACCGCCCGTCTTACAGTAAATCGGACTCTGATACAGACTGTCCAGTGATTGCGGTTAGCTCTTTCTAACAGACCAGCAGAGCGTGTCGCCCCCCCCCCTCACCTGTGGGCGGAAACAGATCCAGTTTAAAAAAGTTGGGTTCACTAGTATACCGGACGATAGACAAAGTCCAAAAACCCAGTAATTCCAGTGTTATACACTGCCGTCGAAGCCTTTTAGATTTTAATCACTTATGGGTTTACATAGGCGAGAACCACAGGGGTACGGCTACAAGGCGGCACGGGTTTAACAACGGAAATGACTCCGAATTGAACTGAACGTGCAGTTGGCTTGGGTGTGGTCGTTTTACTCGGGACCAGAATAAGAACTTCTAGAAAGGTCTCCTGTCTCTTGCTACATATCAAACGGTCTTATCAATATCGTAATAAGAGCAAAAACAATAACTTCATAATTACAGATTCGTGAGTATAAGAGGGCGTGTTCATTTATAAGACTATACTTTAAGTATATAACGGTGCCCATAATGACACAAAACTTGCAAAGAAATGCTAAAAATATTCGTGACGAGTAAACGTGAAAATGCGGGGGGGGGGCACGTAGTAGCATAGTTTGTTAAGGCACTATGTTGCAAGCTGGAAGGTCGGGCGGGTTCGATTCCTGATGAGGGATTTTTCAGTTAGAAGCCTTCCAGTCGCAGCATGGCCCTAGGATCGATTCAGCCTCTAACAGAAAGAAATACAAGGAATCTTCCTGGGGGTAATGGGCAGTAGGCGCTTAAGGCTGACAACCTTACCGCCATCTGTGAGCCGACTGTCTAAAAACTGAGTAAGTCCCGACGTGTCACAACCCTACGGGCCTCCACGGTCTGTTACAGGGATAGCTGTAACTTCTTTTATAAATGTGAAAATTAGTCCAAGACTGTACAGGATAAATTTATGTTAAGAAAGTGAGACAAGTAACGTTGAGGATTGTGTTTGGACCTTTGACTAACAAGGGGTTTGGGGAACTGGAATGAACAAGGAAATGAGGGAAATTACATACTTAGAAACCCTGAGTCCGGCAGCGGACATTAGAAGTAGAATTTCGAAGTGTTTGGATCATGTTATTAGAATGGATGAAATAAGAGTGGCTGAGAGAATTTTTTAAAAGACACAGATACCC